AGTGTACGCAGGCACGCCGTTAATCATTGTCTCGATGCATATCGGCTGCTGGGCTTCTGGGTCGCGCACTGGTTGATCCTTTGGATCCTTCAACCGGCGTATACGGGAATCGTACAGCCACGCGTTTGTGAGGGATTTGGTAGGTGCGGTCGTGGCTTCCAATTGGAAGGACTGCAGGATACGCTTCGCATCGTATTCGATGGAAGACGGAACCGCCTCCTTCTCCTCGTCCGGGTCGTGAAGACGGGTTCAGCGCGCATGACGTAGAACTCGTCACGGTGGCCTTCGTCGTCATCCCAGTCAGGCTCATCCTCTGGAGAATCGTAGTCCAAGTGGTAGGCATCGTAATCCGACTCCGGTAGATCCACGTTGTCATCGACGTCGCCCTGGACCTCTCCAGGCATGTCCTCTGGACCGCTCTGTTGCTGTAGGATCTGCTGAGAGAGGCCGTCGGCCTCACCGTCCAAGTCGTCGGCGTCGACGATCCGCTGGGCGTACATACGGCCGGACTTGCCATATTGTGGACACTTTGGGTCAGTCGAAATATGACCCTGTCCACCGCACTTGAAGCATTTGACATTGGGGTTGTCACCCCCCGATGATCCGACGTTGGGAGGCGTTGATTTCGACTGTCCCTGTCGCGGTACCTCTTGACGGTGTGGTCGACCGTCCTTACGGAAAGGTTGCCCTTTCCGTTCCGGTCTCTGACCCGAACCGCCTGGTCGAGGTTGTGGGGCCTGTTGAGAAGGGGGTCGATCCGCTCGGTACTTCCCTTTGGAAGTCGAGCTATGGCGCGGCGGCGTCGACGTCGACGTCCGCTGTTGTGACCCATCATGCCCTCGACGCGACCTAAAGGAAGCCATTGCTTCCTCTATCTCGCGCGCGGCAGACACGAATGTCGCAAAGTTGTCGCGGCGAATGTGCAGGCCTCAGCTGATAGTCAGCTCGTGCTCAATGGAAGCGGGTAGCGCTGCTACAAACCGCTCCTTGATGTCCTGTTGAGTCAGCGGCTGGAACATTTGTTCCGCGTAATAGACCAGTCGGTCATACAGCCTCGATACCCCGCCCTTGTGAGGTTCGAATTGAACGCTCGCAAACTCGCGCGCTGCTACAGCGAACTGATCCGTTAGGATGAAACGGCGGTATAGTCCTATGATGGACTCGAGGTGTGACATGGGCCTATCTACTGGCCGTATCGGCGACGTAACCGTCTGCTGATACCAGACTGCCGCTTCACCCGTCAAGCACTGACGGGTGAAGGATATTCTCTGAATATCCAAGTCCTGTCCCCTCAGTCTGAGGGTGTCCAGATAGGACAAGAGATTCTCCAGCCAGACGTTGAAGGCATCGTTGTCGTCCTTTCCATCGAAAGGGTCGGGTGCCTTCAGTTTGATCTGCTTGAGGTACGGCGGTAGTGGTTCGTCGGGGTCTTCACCCAGACACTTGTCGAATATGCTCAGGATCATGCTGATCCCGAGACTGTCTCGGAGATTGGTGTGGTCAGGGCTCGCCGCTACCTGGCTCGGCGCACCCAGTAGAGGCAGCTGATACCCACCAATGGTGGACGTCGCTCCTACGTACGGGGCGGCCGAAGCGGCTGGATGCACCTGTGGTGCACTAGGCCAGTTGCGATGCCCACTTATCGAGCCCATATTCGAATGAACGTGAGTGGGCGGTGCCAACACGCTGAGTGCGACGTAGGGAGGGTAGGCCGCTAACGGCGATGATCTCGTCGGCGCGCGGTGGGCGTTATCCTGTCCAAAGTGGACGCTCCGGCGACGTTCTGGCTGGACCGCCACGTTGGTGACCCTAATCGTCGCGGCCGACTGTTGGTTCGGCGGATTCGGCGCGGGCGATCGGGTGGTTCGAGGTCCGTATCCTGGGGGATACGACGGTGGTGTCCTCGAGGCGAGGGTCATAGGCGACTCCCAACTTCCGGGACGAGACGCAACGCGGTTCGATTGACCCGCGATGCCCGCGTTCTGCTCGCGCTGGTCTCGAGTACGAGCCAGTGCGGCCTCTAACCGTTGATGAAATTCAGGGGCAGGGTTACTGTTCGGTTGAACAGTTTCCCCATCCTGTATCAATCCGAGGCCCATGTCCGGCAACTCCTGCAGTTGCTCGGTCGCCGTTTCGTAGGCTGTATTTAGTCGGGACGGTGACTCGTCCGCGACCTCTGCAACCGACGGTTGCGCATATTGTTGGTTCGTGGGTTCAGGTGGTGGTGGTTGCAATTGTTGCCCCGACTGCTATTCAGTAGTGCTCTCCTCCACTATCCTGGCGCGGCGAGTCGGATACGACTCTAGCATCCGTGACGCCCATTCGGGCGTACTTGCCTCTGGATCCAGCGCGTGGTTATGAAGCCACGTCGCCAGGGTGTGTACGCCCTCCATCTCGAGGTTCTCCGCCACGTAAGACAACGCCCTACGCGGAGACCATTCCTGGTCGGGGGCCTCAGCTATATACGCCCCAAGCTGGGCGGTGCGCCCTAAAATATTGAGGAACTCTTGCATCCTCAATTGCACGACCGGAGACCTCGGCACTGGTAGTGCATTGGAGGGCTCGTTGTCCCCATCCCCCGCGGAGTCTCGTACTGCTAACGCTCCTGCGTTACCAGCAGAGTTCCTATCTCGGTTGGACCTAATGGTCACGTTCCTTAAGGGGTTCGACACTACTGACATCGGGTTTACCCCACCCTGCGATATCGCCGGGCTTGCTCGAACCGAGCTATTCTCGGGAGCAACTTCCTGTCAGCGACTAGCAGTAGGCGTCGAACTACTTGCTATGTCCTCAGAGAACCGGCGGGTCCCTGTGGACCTTAAGGGAGCGCCGTTTCGGGGTGAGTCCGCACGTCTGCCAGACGAGCTAGGACCTCCGGGGATAGAGCTTCCTGACGAAGTGTCCGGGTCTCGGGGAGACCACCTCAGAGGCGAAGCTCGAGTCGAGCTCGCGGTCTCACGGTGTGTCGCGTGTGATGTCGAGGGTTCCGTCATGGTAGGTGCCTAACGCACAACACAATCTAGAAACCCACGTATTCGTGGTATGAAGTGTAAAAAAGTGTAATGTTTACGGGTGTCGCCTGATTCACACAAGTCCGAAGTACACTGAACCAATCTCTAGATTGAGAGGGCGTATACTATGGTGGACGTGGTGAAAGGCTCAGAAGCCTTCGCCACGTCGCGCGGATCCAGATGGATCAGCGCCGATCACCATGACGATCCAGATGTAGATACAAGATGTAGATTAACTACGTAGATAAGATAAGATAATGAACGATCCGTTACAACGATCATCCTGTGGGATGCCCGAGCTTCCTGCATCTCGCAAGAGTGGTTCGCCCACGATGACAGGGTCAATAGTCTCGCGTTCTCACCAGACGGTCGATACCTCGCGTCCGCAGGTGGCGAGAAGGTGGCAATCTGGGACATCAGCGGTAGCTCACACCAAGTTGCCACCCTCGAAGGTCAAACTTCCGTCATCGGCTGGTCGGGAGACGGTGCTTACATTGCATCCCACGACGTAGTACGAGTACGACGTGCGGCTCTGGGATGGACGCACATTCCAACCGCTACGCTTTCAATGCCCCAGCAAGCAAGCAATCATGGAGCCCCTGTTTTCACCTGACAGCCACTGGCTTCTCTTCCACGATTATGAGAGCTGTGGCGTTTGGGATATGGTGTCTGGCACATACCTTCCGCTCCCATTCGAGGGAAACTTCCAGGCTGAATATGCCTCAACAGCCGCATTCAGCCCAGAGAGCACCCACGTCGCCGTTGGATACCGTAATGGGAGGATCCGCGTTTGGGACATAGGGACAAGGCAGGAGCCTCTGCTCTGCAAGGATGACACAGGTGGCGTCACCGATGTGGCCTTTTCCCCGGATGGTCGGCTGCTGCTCTCAGCCTCGAACGACAAGACAGCGAAGACGTGGGATGCACGCACTGGTGCCCTGATCCACGTGCTTGAGGGACACGAGAATTGGGTGCCCAAGGCGCGCTTCTCCCCGTGCGGGAAGTATATCGCCTCTGCATCGTATGACGGGACGGTGAGGGTGTGGAGGACAAGCGATGGATGTTGCCTTGCGACGCTCTCCGACCACGGTGACTCAGTCTTGCACGTTACATATACTCCCGACGGGACAATGCTGTGGTCTGCAGCACGGAACGGGACTGTTTTGGGTCGCCGTGTTCAGGATTGCATGCCGGGCGAATCCGAATTTTGAGTAGAGTTGTACAGCGAATCGAATACACCCATCCCCGTGCATCCGATATGTCTGCATCGTGATGTACTATATATACATGTTCACCGGTTTCGATCTCGCATCAAATATTCCATGTAGCTTCGTTTACGATCCGTACAACTGTCGTTCCCGTAGATTTTTGCCCTACGTCTTGTATCTGCTTCATCACACACAAATCCTTTCTGATGATGCAGCGATGGATTGCACAAGCTTGCTCCATGTCGATCTGAGAAGTCAATTCATGCGCCAGAAATCTTTACGAACATACCGGGTGGAGAGCTTATACGATCCGACAGTCCTTCGAAATCGTGTGAGATAGCAAAGCCTGCAACTAGCAATGAGACATCATGAACGAATGTCATCGTTTCCTTCTCCAGTCCCGAGGCCGAGGGATCTACGACAACGGCAATCCACCGTTGACGGCGTAGCGTGCCTACGCGAATGCCATCAGTGGTCGTACAGCGCCCACAATGTCTTCCGCTTCCTCGATTAATGCGACGCGAAGCGGTCTATCCCGAAAACGTGCCCCCTCCGACCAGACTGCAAGCTGCGACGCCACACCAACGGCTTCCAGCAGTGGACAGGGCCCACAGTCCAGATCTCGCTCCCGTTTGTCGCGCTCCCTAACGGCGATTTACAGGACCTCTGCACCGATCTGCGACACGCGCGCGACGCTATCGAAAAACTCGGCCGGATATTCTGTGAACAAGACCACTCGCTGTCCTCTTGCTTGAGGCCGCGCGTGTTGTGCAGCCAAGGCACATGCGTTGCAGCGGATGTGGGGAAAATCGTCGGAAGGTATGTGACAGATGCATTCAGGAAGGATGGTGGTAAACACAGAACGAGTACCTATATTCGCAGAAACGTTACCCTAGTATAAGGTATCAGTCATTCGCCGTCATCAGACCTGTGACTCGAGCACTGCGGCGTCCACAGGGAATGCGACGACGAACTCACCGGTGAGAACATTGAGAAGCAAGTGCCAGGAAAGATGAATCCTTCAGACACCGGCGCGGTTGGACCTGGAATATGACTCACCTTAACTTCCCCGAGCATCTGCTATACGCTGTACGAGACCCCACCTAAGCAGATGCGTGTCAATGTCGAGTTCGCGACTGAAGAAGACGGTTGAGCTCGCCCAGGAAGAGTGACGAGAGCGGGCATGTGCAGAGAAAGACTCGTGCAAGGGTGCATTAGGCGACAAGCTACGATCGCGCGCAGCATTCATGGTTGTAGAATGAGAGGTCTGTCCAAGAACAGTGCATCACGACAAATACCGGCGATGAAACGTCCGGGGTAGTGGTAGAGCACAGAGATGTCCAAGGCAAAGAGCAGAGGGAGGGGTTTAGTCCGGGACGCGGCCCGCTTGTTAGCGCCTGGGAGCAGTCGTCTCCCCCCGACGCCCGTCGTCCCGCACTGCAACGTCGACTCGCTTCATATCGCTCGCTCTTGAATCTGCTGTACCCAAATCGGGACCTCTCCCTCCACCACCGCTGTCAGTATCTCGCTCTGGAGCATGCAGCCCCTTTCATGCAAGCTCTCCCAACGCCTGACAGCCGAGCGCAGCGTGTGCCCGACGTCTGCGTCCGGCCTCCGCAGCGGGCACACGCTGGGGAAGGGCGGTGATCGTCGGTAGGGCATAGGACGCGGCCGCGGGGGGAAGCTTGGGGGCAGGTGGTGGGCTGCGTAAACGTAAACCGGGTGAGGTTCGGAAGCGGCGGTGGTGAAAACGGGCAAGGCGTGCCGGACGTTGGGAGCGCGGATCGCGCTTACGGGTGGATGGGGCAGCGGGAGACGGGGAGCGGGTGGAGCGCCAAGGGAGGTATAGGCCAGGAGTGAATCCGTAGCTTCATCCGGTTGTGAACATGAGGTACGCGATATCCCCGCACGCCTGACTCACCAAGATATCGAGTGTGTATCCGCTACGGACTGCACGAGGTGAGCAGCAGGCGTTTGGCTGGACATCTTCTCGGCCGCCGGAGAGCCGCAAAGGAGTTCGATGGCCAATTGGGGTGGGAGACGCCTTCTCTCGCCGGAGCCACGGTTGATGGCGGGCTAGTCGTCGGAGAACTAATTGTCTCGTCGTGGACCGTGTCCGATCTGTATGTCAGGATAGCGTGGATGTGAATCAGCTCGGGTGAAGAGTGCGCGGTGTACGTAGATGACAGGGGGGGTATGTAGCGAGCACCATCTGGCATCACCCATGAGTGCCGCTCGTAGGCAGCGGTGTATCGTGGGTAGCCTGACGAAGTCGACGTCCCTTCGCCTGCAGAGACTTTGGTTTCACCTTCGCAGCGGATCGAGAGAGTGCGCGCGTCCGGGAGAACCTGGAGACGGTAGGTCTGTTGTCCTATGTACAAGTAACAATACATCAGCTTCCAATCACCGACTCAGAACGCTGGACTCCAGACACTAAGCTGAATTCGACGTCTGACTCCGCAAAAACGAGATCAATGGGTGTTTCGAGAAGAAGACGTCCAGCAGGGGAAATATGGGCAGGATAGGAAGATAGTAGGGTGGAAGAAGGCGAGAACGAGGACGTACCTGTTACGCCTCTTCCAACCAAGCGGCTCGTGCGCTATCGCCGTGATCTCCCCGGGCGCCACACCATTCGCGTTCGCCTGCCCGAACGCCCCCGCCATATATGCTGTAAGATTCAAGGCCGGTTTTGGTGCTGGGACGATCCTCTGATTTTGCAATAGCAGGGTTCATCGAGCGAAGGGAAGTTGGCCAGTCAAGCGCCACGTGCGGACCAGAAGCTGAAGACACGATGACCGACAAGGGCGTGGATGACATAGGCAGTTTCAATCTTTGCTGTATACGGTACCAGGTAGGTGTGTCGAGGATGGTCAGGGGAGCACCCGTCACAGCATTCGAGGGTGCTGGCCGCGGTAGAAGGTTGATGGTTGGAGACAATATGGCGTGGACTGTTGGCTGCGACTCAGGAGTAGTCTGTGCCGTTCCAAGGATATAAGAAGGAGAAGGTGCAGGTGAGAAAGGTACGTCTTCGCAAGCCAAAGGTGCAGTTGGTCGATCGCATCCCGTCCAGGCCACAGCTCCGGAGAGGGTAAATGACGCAAAACCTCCTCCTAGCTACCAGGGCCATCGGATTCCGTACCACGAGCGTGACTCAAAGCGATGTTCAGGATCCTTACACACAATGCCAACACATGAAAGCAAGAGTCGACGAGATCTACAAGCACATCGCACGTGTCAGTACGACGCATAGTATTGGCTAAATGCACGAGCCTCACCTTCCACCTGCTCCAAACATGACCTCTGACGACGGTTCTCGTATCCGGTTCGGGCAAGAAAGCAGATGGTAGGTGTGAGGCGATGTCCAAGCTAAAGCAGGCGAGCACAGACTGCGAGTCCCTGTCAGGTGCTTAAAAGCGGGCCACGTCCCGGGCCGAACGCTCCGGAGCTTTTGCCTTCGCCGTTGCTTGTCATGATCCACTGCGCTCCGACCGTCCTCTCACTCCACAGCTATGAGTCCTGCGTAACAGTGGGCGTGTCGCCTAACGCACCTTTCATCAGGCTATCTCCGGTCGCACATGCCCGCTCTCATCACTCTTTCTAGGCGAGCTCAACTGTCTCCTTCAGTCGCGACCCCGAAGTAGACACGCGGCTGTCCAGGTTGTATCTAAGAAAGCGTATACTGCATGGTCGGTGACAACCAAGGGGAGTACTCATATTCTGGGTCCTACCACGCCGGTTGCCTTTTCTGGCACTTGCTTCTCACTGCTCTCACAGGTGAGTTCGTCATTGCGTGCCCTGCGGACGCCGCAGTGCTTGAGTCACAGGTCTGATGATCGCGAATGACGGGTGCCTTATTCTAGGAAGACGTGGTCAATGTGTTCTGCCAGTGTAGGTACTCGTTTTACGTCCACGACCATCATACTTCCTGAATGCATGCAAGTCAGCAGCATCCGACACAGTCGAGTTCCCCCCTTTTGCTGCAGTCTTTGCGGATTATCTGACATCCCTTTTGACGATTCTCTCCGCACCCGTTGCAACGCATGTGCCTCGGCGGCACAACGCGCGCCGCCTCAAGCAAGATGCCAGTGAGTGGTCTTCACATGATTTTTTCGGCTGAATTGCTCGATAGCATTGCGCGGACATCGCAGACCCTTCGGGCCAACACCGGCCGCAAAGAGCGGAAAACCTGTAGGTCCCTGTCAGTGAGGGCGATGAAAGAGAGCGAGATCTGGACTGTGGGCCCTGTCAGCTGCTGGACGCTGTTTGTGTGGCGTCGCAGCTTGCAGTCTGGTCGGAGGGAGCACGTCTTCGGGATAGACCGCTTCGCGTCGCATTAATCGAGGAAAGGTCAGACATTGTGGGCGCTGTACGACCACTGACGGCATTCGCGTAGGCACGTCAGGCCGTCGACGCGGGATTGCCATTGTCGTATATTCCTCCGCCTCGGGACGGGAGAGCGAAACGACGAGGATCGTTCATGATATCTCAATGTTAGTTGCAAGCATTTTTCCCACGCGATTCTGAAGGACTGTAGGAGTAGATAGGCTTTCCACCATATATGTCCGTAAACATATCATGGCGCATGATTTGACTTTCGAGATGGACACGGATCAAGCTTGTGCAATCCATCGCTGCATCATCAGAAGGGGTTTGTGTGTGATGAAGCAGGTACAAGACGTAGGGCAAAAATCTACGGGAACGACAGTTGTACGGATCGTAAATGAAGCTACATGGAATATCTGAGGCAAGATCGAGACCGGTAAGCATATATACGTAGTACATTGTGATGCAGACGTATGGGATGCGCGGGGGACGGGGGTAGATAATTCACTGCACAATTCTATTCAAAACTTGGATTCGTCCAGCATAAAGTCCTGTACGCGGCGACCCAACACAGTCCCGTGCCATCCTGCAGACCACAACATTGTCCCGTCAGGAATATATGTAACGTGCAAGACTGAGTCACCGTGGTCGGAGAGCGTCGCAAGGCAACATCCATCTCTCGTCCTCCATACCCTCACCGTCCTATCCCAAGATGCAGAGGCGATATACTTCCCGCACGGGGAGAAGCCCGCCTTGTGCACCCCACCCTTGTGTTCCCCAAGCACGTGGATCAGGGCACCACTGCGTACATCCCAGGTCTTCACTGTACGGTCATACGAGGCTGAGAGCAGCAGTCGACCGTCTGGGGAAAAGGTTGCATCTCGGATCTGATCTGTGTGTGCCTTCCAGAGCAGAGGCTCCTGCCTTGTCTCCATGTCCCAAACGCGGATCCACCCCTCGTATCCAACAGCGACGTGGGTGCTCTCTGGGCTGAATGCGGCTGTTGAGGCATATTCAGCCTGGAAGTTTCCCTCGAATGGGAGCGGAAGGTATGTGCCAGACGCCATATCCCAAACACCACAGCTCTCATAATCGTGGAAGAGAAGCCAGCGGCTGCCAGGTGAAAACAGGGGCTTGATCCATGTCTTCTTGCTGGGGCTTTGAAAGGGTAGCGGTTGGAATGTTCGTCCATCCCAGAGTCGTATATCGCCGTCGTACTGTCGGGATGCAATGTAAGCACCATTTCCTGACCAAGTGCAGTCTTTAACGGTACGTGTGTGACCTTCGAGGGTGGCAACTTGGTGTGAGCTACCGCTGATGTCCCAGATCACCACCTTATCGTGACCTGCGGACGCGAGGTATCGACCGTCTGGTGAGAACGCGAGACTATTGACCCTGTCATCGTGTGCGAACCACTCTTGCGAGATGCAGGCAGCTCGGGCATCCCACAGGATGATCGTGGAATCATAGGAGGCCGTCGCTACCCATCGCCCGTCTGGGGAGACAACAAGTGCAGAGACCCACGAGTCATGCCCGGGTCTTCCAGCTACGCAAGTCAACCTCTAGCTTAGCACAATGGTTGGTGAATGAGGCTCACAGTATCTGGGCTCTTCTGCAAGCGACCAGTGCTCACTTTCTCTGGGAAAGCACCTTCTGAATTCCTCCATCCCAGAAATTGTCTTCCGCATATTCAAGCAAAGGCCACCATTTACTGCGAGTACCACACGATGGGCGGGGTATTTACTGAGGATCTTCTCCAGTGCTGCATAAAACTCCAGGTTTGCAGGTCGACGGCATTCGCGATATAGCTTGCTAACGTCATCATGCCGGAGGAACACAGTGACGGTGCTGATCTTCATTGCTACCGGACCTGCCAAGATTTCCACAGCGCGTTTGATCTCGTCCGTCGAAGCATCTATCTGCAATGTGAACGAGACCTCATAGGTCCCGTCTGATAACTGAGGGAGTGTGGGCGATGTTTCTAATGCGTGCGATGAGATTGCAGGGATTGTGAGAAGAATTGAAATACGAACGATGACGGTTGAGGGTGGGAAGCGAAGCGGGAGTCACCGGTGGACCTATCCCGAGCAATGATTTCGTGAACTCCTCGTCTACGTAGGGAAGTATCTGTTGGAAGAGGAGTCGAAGTCACACTCAAGAAACAACACGGAGACAACCAATCACAACACTCACATCCAACGTTCTCAGACGCAGTTGGCGAGACAGACTCTTTTGCACCAATGGGCTCGCTTCGCCTTTTTGTCTTATGCGCAGCCAATCGCATGTGAGGTGTTCGGTGCTCGGGAATGAGGCAAGGAACTGGAGGAAAGCGGTGCAAGTCGAGAATAAAACCCCTTTGATAGTCAGGCTCCCGATCCCGATCCCGGATAGCCTGCAGCAGAGTAGAGTGGAAGGGTGGCATGGTATTGGATTGATATCGCCCCAGATAAACGTTATATGACGAAGAGTAGGCAGAATAGACAGCAGAGGGTATGGAGCAAAATCCTTCCACCAAATCGACAGAGATCGCACGAAAGGCTGACGCTCGGGCTTCGCCTTGAGCACGTCACAGAGATCAAAGAGCTTTTTCCTGCTGCGAGGGCGGACGTCCGTGAATAGGACGAGGATGCTACGAGGATGGAGGTCGTGGCAGGTGAGAGCGAAGGCAAGCAGTATCTTCGTGTGATCAGAGCAGCGGTCGATGATGCCCTCGATGACCTCCACTGGGAGCGCGAGGGACTGCATGGTGGGCGGATTCGAGGGCGAGGGATGCGAGGAGTTCAGGAGGTCGTTGTTTGGAAACATGGGTGCGTTGAGAGCAAGTTTCGCTGGTGTGGAACGATAGGCTCTAGAGGGACTAGGGACGAGTAAGACAGCGTCTTTTGATCAGGCTGTGCCCATGGGGCGCAGTTTCTGAGTTTGACAGAGAAGACTTCGCATCCAAAGCATGGACTCCGCACTTCACCGCGTCAGTAGCAAGAAGTACTCGTCATCGCCGCAATCATCTCTTAGGAATCTCGTGCTGTACATCATTGCGTACATTGTGGACCGCCTCGACACTTCTGGGTACAGCAACACCGCGAAATTGCAACTGCGGCAAGTCTGTTTGTCATTGAATGCGCGGAACATGCACAAACCAGGCGGTGAATGCTGCGGTGCATGGTCATTTTCTGCCAAAGTACACGGGATACGGGTCTCGACCATCGTTACGACCTATATCGCACCCCATCGCAGACACCCAACCAGGAAAGCATGCAACCGCCCCCCACGACATGGTGCAATGGCAATGCACAATGAGAAACCAAGAGCGAGCGCATCCGCCTCACGGCATCCAAGGCACCGAGTGCGCTCCCACTATGCGCCCGGTACTTCGTGTTGACCACGAAGATAAGTAAGGGGACCCCGAAGTTGCCTCCCATCTTCGTGGCAACTTCGTAGTACTCTATCGTCGTGACAAAATTCGTGATGCGATCAGTATGTAGTGTACACGAATTATCTTCGGGGTACCACGAAGTTCCCAGCGGCACTGACAGTACTTGCGAAGTCATTTCCTGCCTGCCCTTAACCTCGACGCCAATCGTGTTCCACGTCGCATCGTTCCTCTGCCGCGTTGTGTTGTTGTCGCTCCCATCCTCGGTCGAGTGTCCTGTCTTGAATATCTGGACTGTTTCTGCCATGACTGGGGCTGATACTGTGCTGGCTAGGCTTGTTTGCTATATCTGCAATCTTCTGTGTCTGCAGTCTTGGGTCCATCTCCGCTTTAGCAGTGTCTTGGTCTCGGCTGCTCAAGGCTACCCATCTACTAACACGTCACTTTTTCTAGGTCTCTTAGTCAGAAATTAGCGATGCGATCTAGTGCGTTCTCCCTCTGTCCTTCGTACAGCTAATTCAGTCAGCTGTCCGCACCTAGCCCTCCCTCGCTCGCCAGGGACTCCTGTTTTGGTTTTCGGCATGCCCTCATCACCCTCTCTGTGCAAGGAAGCTGCAGCCACGGCCATGGGTCCTATAGGGAGATGTAGTTGGCTGGAGAATGGGATTCGGAGGACTACTACGAAGTAGGTGTCTGAGTGACCACCGCAGCAAGTGTTGCTGACCATGCCAAGGCACGCGCAACAGCCGGCAAAGTCGGTGCGGCACAGGAACCAGTTCTCCAAGAGTATGTATATCTTATCTTGCGATTCGTCAAATTGTCGCTCATCATTGTCGTTGTCATTCAGCCCAGCCCCGCCTGCCCTGGCATGGCTGGCACGCCCGACTCAAATGAACTCTTCGGCACGACATGCAACTGCACATCATTACTCACAGGAACGGTACCACTTTGAGACGGGCACGGGCAGCTGGCGGATAGTTACAGGAATGCTCTCGAGATGAGGAGCAGGGGTTGTGTATGGTCATCGGGTAGTGTCATTGGCTGTCGCTAGTAGGGATGTAGTATCAGCGCATGGCTAGCATTGCTGCCGCGCCGCCTTCTTGCAGTGAAATATATCTTGTTCCACGTAATATCTCAGTAGTTTGACATCTGGCAACAATACAGGACGAACAGGAGCAATGGACGAACTCCCGCTACCCGCAGGCATGACTTCGTTATCGTTAACAGATAATTCGTGCTGATCACGAATCAAATAATGAAGTTGTGGCGACGCGCTTATTCGTTGCAAGACGAATTGCCTTCGTGTTGACCCACGAATTGCCTTCGTGTTGACCCACGAAGATACTTCGTGATCAACCAGTACCCAACTTCTTGGTCAACACGAAGTACGGGGCGCTCAGTGTCCACGATGCACGCTGCGCCCATGGTCGCCCCTGTACCGCACAGGAACCACATGTCCTCCGCGATGTGCAAGTACTGCCTCCCAGACCTGAATGCGATACGGGAACGGGGTGGGAGACGCCTTCTCTCGCCGGAGCCACGGTTGATGTCGGCGAATGCGGGGTGGATCATCACGACCTTGTCCTGGACGTAGCGAAGGAAGGTAGAAAGCTGATTGTCTCGTCGTGGACATTATTTGATCTGCATGCAATGATAGCATAGATGCGAATTCGCTTGTAGGGGAAAGGGTGCGCAGTGTACGTAGACAACAGGGGACCTGTAGCGAGTACGGCTACCCATGAACGCTGCCCGTCGGTGGCGGCGTGTCACGAGTAGCCTGGCTAAGTCGACGTCCCTGGCCTGCAGAGACTTCGGATCCCAGATTCGCGGCGGATCTCGAGGGTGCGCGCGTCCAGGAGGACCTGAAGACGGAACGTGTGTTGTCCTGTGTACAAGAACCAATACATCAACAACCGACCTTCGACTTGAAACACAAAAGTCCAGACACCGAGCTGAGTTCGACATCCGACTCCGCAAGACCGAGATTGACAGGTGGTTCGAGCAAAAAGACATCGAGCACAGGAAGTACGGAAGATGGCAGGGTGGAAGAAGGCGAGAACGAGAAAAACGTACCCCCAAGCAAGCCGCCCGGGCGCTATCGCCACAATCTCCCTGCCCGCCGCGCCATTTGCGACCTCCACCCCGAACGCCCCGCCATATTTGCCGTCGGGCTTCGGTGGTGGGAAAGACCCCCCGACATCGCGACAGCAGAGCTCCCCAAGCGCACGGAAGCCGGCCAGTCGGGCGTCGTCTGCGGACAAGGCGCTGGGGCTGCCGTCACCATCGAGGGCGTGGATGTCGTGCGAAGTCGCTTGCGGGTTCAGAGGGGCGCACCAGTAATAGAAGGGGTCGCGACGGGCCAGACACGCGCGGGTGCTGGACGCGGCAGGACGTCGGTCGTTGAAGGCGATATGGCGCTGGCTGTTCGCCGAGGGGGGGAAGGCGCGTTTCGCAAGACATGGGATCGCATCCTGCCCAGCCCGCAGCTCCGAAGAGGGTAGACAAAGCAAAGCTTCCCCTCGCTACTAGACCATGAGAACTTCCGTACCACGAGCATGTCTCGACGCGATGTCGAGGATTGCTATGCACCAAAAGATGAAGGTAAGAATCCATGATGCCCACAAGCACATCGCACGTGTCGGTCCGATGCAAATTGACTGAATACACGACTCTCACCTTGTACCTGCGCCGACCGTGAGCTCTGGTGGGTCTCGCATCCGGTTCAGGCAAGTCATAGGTATCCGGTGAAGACATGGATATCGCGCAGGCTGATGACAGGGCAGGACGAACGTGACGGAGCTCGTTGAGGACGATTTCCTGATAGTGAGAGAGGGGTGACGGGAGCGTCAGTAGCATATCTTCGGGTAGCAGGATAGATGTACCGCGACGCTGTGAGGGCCTGGCTATGTAGACAGCAAGAGGTACGCCAATCGACTGGGAGGCCGGGCGCAGGGAGAGATTGGGAAACAGATGGGAAGAAGTGGCATAGAGCGGGACGTTAATGGCGGCAGAGAAGAGTCGGGATTCGAATACTAGGATGATAGCAAGTGGTGAGCAGATGGTAGGTGCGAGGCGATGTCCAAGGGAGCACAGAGCGAGGCAGCGTCCAGGCACTGGCCTGCGGTGTCCGTGGACGCTTCGGGCGCCGGCTGTGGCACGGTGTCGTTGTGGGACGGGGAGGGGACGCACCGTCCACGCGGGGAGAATCGGGGTGCTTGGAGCGACAGGAGTGCCCCGCCGTGCTGCGTACCTCGTCGGCCAGTACGTTGCCCGCGAACGCCGCACTTCCGCTCCGGGGGGAGGTGGAGGGCGCAATCGAGCTCGCTGGTGGCGTGGCTGTCGCTGGACTGACCTTGGGCGGACGCGGCTGTTGCCCGGCTTGCAACGCGGTCTCGGACGTACGTGCCTCAAATGGCGGTCGAACTCCTTCGCGGCCGCTGCAGAGTCGAGCAGATGTCCAGCCAAATGCCTGCTGGCCACATCTCCTCCTGTAGTCCGTAACGGCTACATACTCGATATCTTGGTGAGTCAGGCGTGCGGTGAAGTCGCGTGCCGGATGAAGCTACGGGCTCACTCGTGCCGCGCCGCTCGGGAAGCAATATGTACATTCGGGACAGCATACCTTCGTTCCACGTAGATACGTGCACATCTCCACCACCACGTCCTCCACGCCCGCCCAGCTCCTCCCGCTCCTCCGCGGCCGTCGCTCCCTTGTGTTACGGCCACCACGTTGCTCTGCCACCGAGTCTCCAGCGGTCGAGAAGATGTTCGGTGGCCGCCTGTATAGAGCAGCGGAGCGTGTGGACACCAGACGGGCGAAACCTTACCTGGTCGTGTCAACCGGACGAGACTGCGGGTTCAGTACCGACGGCTGCTCCGCGGTGACATGGAGGGGTTTGTACGGCGTGCCTACACGCTGGAGTTCCTGGACACCGGTATGGGACACCTACCTGGTGCCAGCGACTTGGACAAGGTCGCGATTTGGCAGCGCGTGTCCCAGAGATCTGCAAAGGTACGTACCTCGCTTTGCGCTCCGCCCGTTCCTGCAGATCGTCCACAGCGGTCGCTCCCGCCTGCATGCAGTGCAGGTACGTGTGCCGGGCAAGACTTGGAGACGTGTGCTCGCACTCACCTGTGCCGCCCCCCTACTCGCTAGGCCGTCTACGGCCGTTGATTCCTGCCGGCGGACTGTGCTGGCGCGTTTGGTGTACCCCAGACAGCTGACGATTGCAAGGCAGAGTGGTGGAAACCAAGGTGTACAGCGGGAGGGCAGGTCGGAGATGGCGGTCGGAGGTGGTGGCGGACAGTGGCGAATCACTCGGGCGCCCGCATGTCGGTGCGACTCGTGCGCCCCTGTATCGCGCTGTCGACACCTTTATTCTGTATTCTACACGTCTTAATCTACGAGTACGGGTACCCCCGCTGCGACGGTGCAAATGGCCTAGCTACGGTCTCGCGCTTTGGCCGCCTCGCTCTCTTTGACCGCGGCCGCTAGCTTGGGCTTGTCCACCCGCGGCAACGCGCGTCCTCGGCCGACATCGACGCAGGTCACTCTCTGCCCCGACCGTCGTGCACCGAGCCAAGCCCTCATCACCGGAATCCGAGCTCAGGTTGCGATGCTGGCCGACGCTGTTCGCTCGTCCCAACAACCTGTTCTAGTACGTGCGACGCTGCCTGTCTACCGACATCGCGTACCGTAACCGCTCGCCATCTCCACCCGACCGCGCCGCCATCGCCGGATGCAGGACGCCCGTCAGCAACCCGACATCGCACGCGCGGCCGTCCGTACAGGCGAGCAACGACGTACCCCCCGCCAACGACGATCCCCACCAGAACGCAAGCGGAAGAGGAGGGCGCGAGGCGGGCGCTGCCCTGTCCTTGCCGGCTGCCGATCCTGGCCCATCGCATATCCCATCCCGTCCTGACGCACTCCCACTCCTTGTGTCGCCCCGCCCCTCGCGCGGCTTCCGCACGCCAGGCGCAAAGGGCGTCCGTGAAGGTACGTCGGCTCCGCGTACGAGTCGGCGTCTCGCCGTCCGCGGCTTTGTCGAGCGGCGCCGCGTGCCGTTCACGTTCATCGGCGTGGGCTGGTGGACGCAGCTCTGCCTCCCACTTCCCCTGCGCAGCAAACAGTCGCCGCACTCAAAGAAGACGACACGAAAGGTACGTGGAGACGGTACAGCACGCAACGTCCTGACAAACAGCCAGGACATCGGCAAATATGCCTCGGGCATCCTCCCGGAAGCCAGATCATGGAATCACGTGGCGATCGTATGGGAAGACGAGGTGAGCCAGGCCAAGGCGCAAACGCTCGATGAGCGGCCTTCCGATGACGGCGATGCGCTCAAGGAGAAGCGGGGCCGTACGTTCCCATCCCGCTCTACTCAGCGTCTCGCCATCCACGACTTCATCCAGCGGCTCCGCGTGCCGTACACGTTCATCGACGTGGGCTGGTGGATGCAGCTCTACCTCCCACCTCACCCGCGCAGCCGATCGCCGTCGCCCTCGAAGGAGATGACATGGAAGGTACGTAGAGATGGCAAAGCACGCCACATCCTCACAACCAACGAGAATATCGGCAAATCCGTCGCGCGCATCCTCGCGGCCCCGACAACCCCAATCGCGGCGATCGTGTGGGAACACAACGTGAGCCAGACCAAAGCACGCGCTCGGACAGAGCCCGACACCGTTGGGCTCAAGGACAAGCAGACAGTCGTACGTCATCCCCCTCTACTCTACGTCCGCTCCTCTCTCTACTGCTAACCGCCGATGCTCCCCAGTCACTCAACTGCAAGAGCAACCGCCATCAGTACACATTCCGCACCTCCAACGACACTAGCGACACTCACCATGACCCCACCACCACCCCGCATTCGTCCGCCCTGCTAATCCTCCCTACTGCGCAATAGCAGCGTCAGCCGCACGCACGCAGCTATATCGGCGACAACGATCACCCCGCGAGCCGGAGCCGTCCTCCACAGCTAAGCAAGAGAAAGATGAAGGGCGGGCGCTGCACCTCCAGCAGTGCGGCCCCCCCTCCTTTTATACCTTCCTCGGCGGTCTTCCCTTCATCCGGCCCCCATCTCCCGCTGCCCCAATCACCCGGACATCCTAAGCGCGATCCGTGCTCCCAACGTCCATCAGCAAAAAAGCGAAAGAAATGGTCAGTTATGTCCGGGATCCGTCTTACACGGCCAGATTGGCGAGATATGGCAAAGGGATGGCGAAAACTGGTAGAGAATCGCCAGGTATGATCTGCAATGGCCGGACCTTGCGGGGCGCTTGAACACTGATTGTCACTTCTGGCTGAGTGTATGGTCTTCGGGTACCGTACTGCAGCAGAAATCTGGCCAATATTGTACATTTTTGACTAGGTCAATGAACATAGATGGTCAATGTTTGGTGTCATTCCTGCCATGGATGCCCAGGCTCACACTACGGAGCGGTCATTTATCATGCTGAACTAGCCAACAGAATTATCACATAATCGAGTATGTAATTTTGATAAATTATACTAATTGGACGCAAACTACTATACACGGAAGAAGGACGCACTGCTACGAATAGAATCAGACAGGGTTAGGGTTAGTAAGGCTAATCGCTGACTGAGCACGAGCAGGTGATCCCGAGACACAGAGCCGTAAGTACACGATAACGAGAACAACCGACCCCGATTCACATGCAATCCAAGCCTCAGCGTCCCTGCTAAATAAGCACCTAAAATATTCGTTAGCTGTGCTCCATGCAATAACACGAAAGGTAAGTGAGGCAACATGGCTTTCTGAAGGGGCAAGAACCAGTATATGCGCATCGTACATACCTGTGGGTTGTTCCCGGGACGTTGCAGTCTAGAGAGTGGAACCTAGACATTAGCAGCTACGGCATCTCGGCACGACTCACAATCATCAGAGCCCGAGGGGCACATCGTAGCATTGGAATGTGGTAGCGGGTGACAAAGGAGGGATGCAGACACCATGTCGAGAGGCGGGGGTTTTGGAAGTGGGAGTTCAGGGCAGGGCTAGCAGAATGACAGGCTGTTGATCCGATGCGCAAGCTTGAAAATTTCACTTGAGGAGAGTACACTTAGAAAGAAGACAGGATGAGGATCGTGAAGGGAACATCACCATACGGGGCAGGCGCTCATGATCAACAAGCATACTCCGGCGCTACGTTCGGGCATCTAGTCAGTACGCTGTCATCCACAGTGACAACACCAAGTACTGCCAATACCACGGGAGGACGTCGTGGTTGCCCCGCTTGAGGCAATTGAAGAGAACTGGCAGCTGAAGGACGTAACGACGACAGAGGCGGTTGTGCATCCGCAAGAGGCTCATTCAGACGGGGCAGCCACTGCACCATTCGTCCGGGGCTCTGTATTAGGTTTGGAGATCCCTTCAGTTGGCGGTGGCGAGACGATCGCTGTTCAGTGAAAGTGTCTGATGTGCTGCATTCTTTTCGTCGCCCGTATTCTATGACAATATAGCGAAGTGACTCAGTATTCACTGTATCAAATAGCATTACCCGCCTCTCCTATATGCCTTTGCTTGAACGGTTGCGTGCCTGAAGATGGGGTAGGGATAGAATGTGTTCGGTGCAGTGCCGTACGCATCGATCCGAGGCGCAGCAATGTATGCGCCTCTTCATACGTCAACACCATCATGACCACCCAGCTTTCTGACGTGGAGCTCCAATCTATCCTCGACTTTTCCATTAGCCTCGCGCGTGGCGCGAGCGAGGTAAGGCTCGGCGGCTCGGAGAAGATCCGCAAAGTGTCGTAGATGAGGAGGCGGAGAGGGCGGAGGCGGAGAGGAGGATGGGCAACGACAACGAGCGCGCTCGGGAGAGGAAGGAGATTGGTGAGGAATGCCGAGGAGGATGTGGTGGAGGGTCGGAGCGCTTGGCGGCTTTGCATAGTCTTATTTTCCGCGCACCTTGTCTCATGCAAAGTAACTGGTATGAAGTAATATCGTAAGATACATACCTGTCTATCATTACCGGTGTCCATCCGCGCAGATGCTCTATGGCCAGATTCCGTCAGGAGGGATGGGAGTTGGCCAGAATTAGGCGGCGCTTGCGGTTTCCGGAAAGGGTAGGTCAGTTTCGGGCGCCGTGGCCATGCGAGACCATGGTTTGCTAGTTTTGCTGATGTCCGGCACGCCTTGCCCGTTTCCACCACCGCCGCTGCCCCGCGTCCGAACCTCACGCGGTTCACGTCTACGTAGCCCATCTGCCCCCATGCTTCCCCCCACGGCTGCATCCTACGCCCTACCGACGATCACCGCCCTTCCCCAGCGTGCGCCCGCTGCGGAGGCCGGACGCAGACGTCGGGCACACAATGCGCTCGGCTGTCAGGCGTTGGGAGAGCTTGCACGGAAGGGGCTGCATGCTCCAGAGCGAGATACTGACAGCGGTGGTGGAGGGCGAGGTCCAGATTTGGGTACTTACAGCAGATTCAAGAGCGAGCGATATGGAGCGAGGCGACGTTGCAGTTTTGGACGACGGGCGTCGGGGGGAGACGGTGTCCCTGCCAGGCGCTAACAAGCGGGCCGCGTCCCGGAATGAACCCGATCGCACGCTCCCTCTGTTTTTGGCCTCAAGTCTACTACTACCTCGGACGTTTCATCACCGGTATTTGTCGTGATGCACTGTGCTTGGACCGACCTCTCATTATACGGCCATGAGTCCTGCGCGCAACCGTAGCTTGTCCCCTAATGCACCCTTTCATATCTCCACACATGCCCGCTCTCATCACCCTTCCTAGGCGAGCTGAACTGTCTTCTTCAGTCGCGAACTCGACATTGACACGCATCTGCTTAGGTGGGGTCTCGTACAGCGTATAGCAGATGTTCGGGGAAGTCAAGGTGAGTCATATTCCAGGTCCAACCGCGCCGGTGTCTGAAGGATCCATCTTTCCTGGCACTTGCTTCTCAATGTTCTCATAGGTGAGTTCGTCGTCGCATTCCCTGTGGACGCCGCAGTGCTCGAGTCACAGGTCTGATGACGGCGAATGACTGATACCTTATACTAGGGTAACGTTTCTGCGAATATAGGTACCCGTTCTGTGTCTACAATCATCATCCCTCAATGAATGCATCTTTCACATCCCATCAGATGAATCTCTCCGAATCCGTTGCAACGCATGGGCCTCAGCGGCACAATGCGCGCCGCCTCAAGCAAGAGGACAGTGAGTGGTCTTGTTCACAGAATATCCGGCCGAGTTTTTCGATAGCGTCGCGCGCGTGTCGCAGATCCTTCGGGCCAAACCCGGACGCAAGGAGCAGGAGGACCTGTAAATCGCCGTTAGGGATGGCGACAAACGGGAGCGAGATCTGGACTGTGGGCCCTGTCCGCTGCTGGAAGCCGTCGGTGTGGCGTCGCAGCTTGCAGTCTGGTCGAAGGGGGCACATCTTCGGGACAGACCGCTTCACGTCGCGTTAATCGAAGAAGGTTCAGACACTGTGGGCGCTGCGCAACCACTGACGGCATTCGCGTAGGCACGTTACGCCGTCGACGCCGGATGGCCGTTGTCGTAAATCCCTCCGTCTCGGTACTTGACAGCGAAACAATGACGTTCGTTCATGATCTCCTAATGTTAGTTACGAGCTTTGACATCTCACGCGATTCAAAGGCCTGTCGGATCGTATGAGCTTTCCACCCGGTATGTTTGTAAAGATATCTTGGCGCACGATTTGATTTTCCAGATCGACACGGAACCAGCTTGCGCAATCCATCGCTGCATAATCAGAAAGGGTTGGTGTGTGATGAAGCAGATACAAGATGTAGGGTAAATATCTGCGGGAACGACAGTCGTACGTATCACTGAACGAAGCTACACAGAATATCTGAGGCGAGATCGAGACCGGTCAGCATATATACATAGTACATCATGACGCAAACGTATGAGATGCGCCGGGGAGCGGGAACAGACGATTCACTACACAACTCTATTCAAAACTCGGATTCGTCCGGCATAAAGTCCTGCACACGGTGACCCAACACAGTCCCGTTCCGTGCCGCAGACCACAACATTGTCCCGTCCGGAGTATATGCGACGTACGAGACCCAGGCACCATGATCGGAGAGCATTGCCAAGCAAGATCCATCACTTGTCCTCCACACCCTTACCGTCCTGTCAGCAGATGCAGAGGCGATGTAATTCCCGCAGGGGGAGAAGCACGCCTGAGACACCGTCAACGCGTGTCCATCGAATGACTGCATCATGGCACCAGTGTGTGCATCCCACGTCTTCACTGTCTTGTTGTTCGAGGCTGAGAGCAGCAGCCGACCATCCGGGGAAAAGGCCACATCGGTGACGCCACCTGTGTCATCCTTGCAGAGCAGAGGCTCCTGCCTTGTCCCTATGTCCCAAACGCGGATCGTCCTATCACTGTATCCAACAGCGACGTGGGTGCTCTCTGGGCTGAATGCGGCTGTTAAGGCATGTTTAGCCTGGGCGTTTCCCTCGAATGGGAGCGGAAGGTATGTGCCAGACGCCATATCCCAAACGCCACAGCTCTCATAATCGTGGAAGAGAAGCCAGTGGCTGTCAGGTGAAAACAGGGGCTCGATGATTGCTTGCTTGCTGGGGCATTGAAAGCGTAGCGGTTGGAATGTGCGTCCATCCCAGAGCCGCACGTTGTACTTGGAGTCGTGGGATGCAATGTAAGCACCATTTCCTGACCAAGTGCAGTCTTTAACGGTACGTGTGTGACCTTCGAGGGTGGCAACTTGGTGTGAGCTACCGCTGATGTCCCAGATCACCACCTTATCGTGACCTGCGGACGCGAGGTATCGACCGTCTGGTGAGAACGCGAGACTATTGACCCTGTCATCGTGGGCGAACCACTCTTGCGAGATGCAGGCAGCTCGGGCATCCCACAGGATGATCGTGGAATCATCGGAGGCCGTCGCTACCCATCGCCCATCTGGGGAGACAACAAGTGCAGTGACGCACAATTCATGCCCGGGTTTTCCAGCTACACAAGTCAACCTCTAGCTTAGCACCATGGTTGGTGAGTGAAAATCACAGTATGTGGGCTCTTCTGCAAGCGACCAGTGCTCACTTTCTTTGGGAAAGCACCTTCTGAATTCCTCCATCGCAGAGATTGTCTTCCGCATATTCAAGCAAAGGCCACCATTTACCGCGAGTACCACACGATGGGCGGGATACTTGCTGAGGATCTTCTCCAGTGCTGCATAAAGCTCCAGGTTCGCAGATTGACGGCATTGGAGGTATAGCTCCCCAGTGTTGTCATGCTTGAGAAACACAGTGACGGTGCTGATCTTCATTGCTACTGGACCCCCCAAGGTTTTCACAACGCATTCGATCTCCTCCGTCCAAACATGTATCCGCAATGTCAACGAGACCTCAAGGGTACCGTCTGATAACTGAGGGAGTATGGGCGATGTTTCTAGTGTGTGCGATGAGATTGCAGGGATTGTGACAAGAGCTGTAATACGAACGATGATGGTTGAGGGTGGGAAGCGAAGCGGGAATCACCGGTGGACCTATCCCGAGCAATGATTCCGTGATGTCCTCGTCTACGTAGGGAAGTATCTGTCGGAAGAGGCGTGGAAGTCAGAATAACGAATCAACACGGAGACAACCATAACAACACTCACAGTCAACGTTCTCAGACGCAGTTGGCGAGACAGACTCTTTTGCACCCATGGGCTCGCTTCGCCTTTTTGTATTATTGACAGCTGCTTGCATGTGAGGTGTTCGATGCTCGGGAATGCGGCAAGGAACTGGAGGAAAGCGGTGCAAGTCGAGAATCCAGCGTTCTTGATAGTCAGGCTCCGAATCCCGATCCCGGATCGCCTGCAGCAGAGTAGAGTGGAAGGGTGGCATATCATTAGCGGATCACAATACACCCCAAACGTTATATGACGAAGAGCAGGCAGAATAGACAGCAGAGGGTATGGAGCAAAGTTTTTCCAATGAATCCACAGAGATTGCACGATAGGCTGACGCTCGGGCTTCGCCTTGAGCACGTCGCAGAGATCAAAGAGCCGATCCCTGCTTTGAGGGCGGACCTCCGTGAATAGGACGATGATGCTACGAGGATGGAGGTCGCGGCAGGTGAGAGCGAAAGCAAGCAGTGTCTTCGTGTCGCGGGAGCAGCGGTCGATGACGCTCTCGATGACTTCCACAGGGAGCGCGAGGTACTGCATGGTGGGCGGATTCGAGGGCGAGGGACGTGAGGAGTTCGGGAGGTCGTTGTTGGGAGACATGGGTGCGTCGAGTGCAAGTTACGCTGGGGTGGAACGATGAGCTCGAGAGGGACTAGGGACGAGTAAGACAGCGTCTTTGGACCACGCTGTGCCCATGAGGCGTGGTATCTGAGTTTGACAGAGAAGATTTCGCATCGAAAGCACGGACTCCGCACTTCGCCGTGTCAGTAGCAAAAAGTACCCGTCATTGCCGCAAGCATCTCCTGTGAATCTCACGCTATACATCATTGCGTACATTGTGGATCGCCACTACACTTCTCGGTACAGCAACGCCGCCAGATCGTCACTGCGGCAAGTCTGTTCGTCATTGAATGTGTGGAGCATGTACAAACCAGGCAGTGAATGCTGAACGATACAGTACATGTCATTTTCTGCCAAAGAACACGGGATACGGGTCTCAGCCATCGTCACGACCTATATCGCACCACATCACAGACTAACCCCCAGCCAGGAAAGCACGCAAACACCCTCTAAGAGATGATGCAATGGCGATGCGCAATGAGAAACTAAGAGCGAGCGCATTCGCTTCATGGCATCAGAGGCACCGAGTGTGCTTCACGATGCACGCTGCGCCCATGGTCGCCCCATACCACACAGGAACCACGCGTCCTTCGTGACGTGCGAGTACTTCCTCCCCGACCTAATTGCGAGTACGGGAACGGGGTGGGAGATGCCTTCTCTCACAGCAGCATCGGTTGATGGCAGGCTGGTCGGCGAGCGCGGGGCGGATCATCGCGGTCTCGGCCTGGGCGTAGCCAAGGAAGGCAGAAAACTGATTGTCTAGTTGTGGGCAGTATCCGATCTGCATGCAAGGATACCGTAGATGTGAATCAGCTCGTAGGGTAAAGGGTGCCGCAGTGTACGTCGACGACAGGGGGGTATGTAGCGAGTACGGCCACCCATGAATGCTGCCCGTGGTCGGCGGTGTGGCCCGAGTTGCCTGGCGACGTCCCCGACCTGCAGAGAGTTCAGGTCTCAGCTTTGCAGCGGATCTCGAGGGTGCGCATGTCCTGGCGGACCTGGAGACGAAAGGTGTGTTGGCCTATGTGCAAGAACCGGTACGTCAACGCCCGACCTTCGACTCGGAACGCGAAACTCCAGACACCGAGCTGGGTTCGACATCTGACTCCGCGAGAACGAGATGTATGGCTGGTTCGAACAGAAAGATGTCGAACACGGGAATCATGGGGAAAATAGGAAGATAGTAGGGTGGAAGAAGGCGGGAACGAGGACGTACCTGCTACTCCTCCTCCAATCAAACGGCTCGTGCGCTATCGCCGCGATCTCCCTGCGCGCCGCCCCATTCGTGTCCGCCGCCCCGAACGCCTCGGCCTGTTTGCTGCCGGCTACAGGGCCAGTTTCAGTGCTGGGAACGACCCCCCGATTGCGCAATAGTAGAACTCATCGAGCTCAAGGAAGTCGGCTAGTTGAGCGTCGTCTGTGGATAAAAGGCTCGGGCTGCCGTCAGATGTTGAGTGCGTAGACGTCATGCGAGGTCGCTTATGCGTTCACATAGGTGCATCAAGAATAGTGGGAGTTGCGATGAGCCGGACACTCGCGGGTGCTGGACGCGGCGGGAAATTGATCATTGGAGGCAATATGGCGTGGACTGTTCGCTACGACTCGGGAATGGTCGGGTCCATTACGAGGGTAGGAGAAGGGCGAGGACGTACCGGAGAGGAAGGCGCGTCTTCGCAAGACATAGGTGTAGCTAGTCGATCACATCCCATCCAGGCCGCAGCTCCAGAGAGGGTAGACGAAGGAAAGCTTCCCCTGGCTACTGGAGCCATCGGGTTTTCCGAGCGATGGGCATGGCCCAAAGCGATGCTGAGGGTGAGTAGGCAGATTGCCAAAACATGAAGGCAAGACTTGATGAAATCTACAAGCACACCGCACTTGTCAGGACGACGCATATTGACTATATGGACGACCCATCTGCTTCTTACATGACCTCTGTGGCGGTCCTCGCATCCGTTTGAGGCAAGTTAGATAGACAGGATAGACATTGAGGCACATGTATATCCCATAGGCCGATGACAGGGTGGGGCGAATGCGACGGAGCTTTTTGAGGATAGTTCCCTGAGACTGAGAGAGGGGTGGCGAGAGCGTGCAAGAGCATATATCCTGGCAGCAGTTTCCAAAGGATAGGTGTACGGCGGCATTGTGAGTTTCTAGCTATGTAGACAACAGGAGGCACGCCAGCTCGCGAAATACAGCGAGGAGCGGCATGCCGTACAGCGAGTTGTTGATAGTAGAGAATAGAGTCACTTTTCGAAGGCCAGGAGGGCAATGAGTTGTAAGCAGATGGTAAGTGCGAGGGGATATCCAAGGACGCAGGCGAGCAGTGACAAAGTGAGGCAACGTCCAGACTCCACTGCCAGTCCCTGACAGGCGCTTACAAGCGGGCCACGTCCCGGACGGTCCGGACCCGGTTGCACGCTCTCTGCTGGGGCGTGTGCAGCATCGAACTTTTCGACTGCGCTCAATTCGACTGCGCTCAACAACAACTCTCTATGATGTTTCATCACCGTCATGATGCACGACTTTTGGACTCTCCTCTCACCCTGGCAACCATCCTGCACAGCAGCTGCTTGTCACCTAACGCGTCCTCCCACACTTGAGTCAATTTCTGCACACGCAGGCGACCCCGACCGTCTCCTTCGGTCGCACTTGAATCGACACGCAGCCGCTCAGCTAGGATGTCGGAAAGCGTGTACTGGGTCGATCAAGTGCGAGCTAGGTATCCTTATTGGTGTCTCTCCACGCAAGTGCATCGGTGTTCGAAAGACTCGCTTTTCCTTGCCTGTCCCTTGCTTCTCATTGCTCTCATAGGGACTCCTGCCATGACTTCGGCGCGCGACCCTCGCGTCAGTCTCCAGGCAGCGCTGACGCTACCTGCATCGCCCCCACGATATCGTCATTGTATTGGCTATACATGCTCTGCTTCTTGAGCCAAAGGTCTGTTGATGGTGAATGGCCGATGTACCATTCCAGGAAGATTCCGGGTAATGCGGGCTGCGAACGCGAGTCCTCAACTCTGTGTCTACGGTCGTCATCCTCTCCGAATGTATACAATTTGGGAGAACAGCCCGTTTGGGCGAACCCCCCCTTTTACAGCAGTCCCCGCGGGGTACGGGTCGTCCGCCATTGTTCATTCCTCGCCGCATACTGAATTCCAACCCTCAAGCAAGCGGGATACGAAGACCACGTTCCGTCTCAAGCAAGCAGCCGGTGAGTGAGTTTCCCAATAGCGCCGCGCGGATGTCGCAGCTTCTTCAGGCCACAACTCGATGCAAGGAGCGGAGGGCCTGTAGGTCGCCGTCAGGGAGGGCGACGGACGAGAGCAAGATCTGGACTGCGTGCCCCGTCAGCTGCTGGACGCTATTTTGGTGGCGTCGCAGAGAAGAGTTAGCAACCGCGAGGGCTGTACGATCATTGACGACATTTTTGTAGGCACGTCAGGCCGTCGACCTCGGATTGCTACTGGTAAATCCCTCAGCATTGGGACCGGAGAACGAGACGATAAGGTTCGTTCGTAATGTCTCAATGCTAATTGCAAGCATCGCTCTCTCACGCGAATCCGAGGAAGGACTGTAGGATTGGATATGCTTTCCACCATGCACGCTCGAATAGATGTCTGCCGCACGATGTATCTGTCGAGATCGACTTGCGCAATCCATCGCTGTATAATCGGAAAGGGGAAATGTGGGATTCAGCGGATATCAGACGTTTAATGAAGATCTTACGGGAACGACAGTCGTACGGATCTCCAAACGAAGCTGCATAGAACATCTGATGCTAGATCGACGCCAATCAGCATATATACATAGTACATCATGCACAGGGGTGGGTGTCATGTATTCACTGCACAACTCCATTCAAAACTCGGACTCGTCCGGCATGGGGTCCTGTACACGGCGACCCAACACAGTCCCGTTGGAGGCCGCAGACCACAGCATTGTCCCGTCCGGAGTATATGCGACGTACGAGACCCAGGCACCATGATCGGAGAGCATTGCCAAGCAAGATCCATCACTTGTCCTCCACACCCTTACCGTCCTGTCAGCAGATGCAGAGGCGATGTAATTCCCGCAGGGGGAGAAGCACGCCTGAGACACCGTCAACGCGTGTCCATCGAATGACTGCATCATGACACCAGTGTGTACATCCCACGTCTTGACTGTGTTGTCGTACGAGGCTGAGAGTAGTAGCCGACCGTCTGGGGAAAAGGCCACATCGCTGACCTTTTGTGTGTGCGCTTTCCAGAGCAGAGGCTCCTGCCTTTTCTCCATGTCCCAAACATAGATCGTCCCATCCATGTATCCAACAGCGATGTGTGTACTCGAGCGACTGAACGCGGCGGTGGAGGGATTATTGGCCGGGTCATCTTGGGATCGGCTGAGTGAAAGGTATGCGCCAGATGCCACATCCCAAACGCCACAGCCGTTCCACATGTGGACCAGAAGCCAGTGGCTGTCAGGTGAGAACAGAGGCTCGATGATTGTTGTTTGGTTGAGGCCGCGAAGGGGCAGCGGTTGGAACGTTCGTCCATCCCAGAGTCGCATATGACCCCCGAGGTCTCGAGATGCAATGTAAGCACCGTTCCCTGACCATGTGCAGTCGACGACGGGGTGAGTGTGACCTTCGAGGGTGGCGACTTGGCGTGAGTTGCCGCTGATATTCCAGATTGCCACCTTATCATCCCCTGCGGACGCGAGGGAGCGACCGTCTGGTGAGAATGCGAGACTCGCGATCTCTCCATCATGGGCAAACCACTCTTGCGAGATGCAGGCAGCTCGGGAATCCCAAAGGATGATCGTGGAATCATGGGAGGCAGTCGCTACCCATCGCCCGTCTGATGAGACGACAAGTGCAGAGACGCACGAGTCATGTCCGGGTTTTCCAGCTACGCAAGTCAATTTCTATATCATCTTCATGTTTAGTGAGTGGAACTCACAATATTTGAGCTGTTCTTCCAGCGCCCATTTGTCGCTTACCGCAGCAAAGCACCTTCGAACCTCCTCCATCCTAGAGATCGTCTTCCGCAGGTTCATGCAAAGGCCACGCATAGCTGTGAAAATTACACGATAGGCAGGGTACTTGATGAGAATCTTCTCCAATGCTGCAAACAGCTCCAAGGTGGCAGGTCGACGGCATTCGCGATATAGTTTCCCAGTGTCATCATACAAGAGGAACACAGTGACAGTGTTCATCTTCATTGCTACCGGGCCTGTCAAGATGTCCACAGCACGTTTGATTTTCTCAGGCCAAGCAAACATCCACAATGTGAATGAAACATGATAGCACCCTTCTGTTCACGGAGGAAGTATGAGTAAGGATTCTGATACGCGATGAGATTAGGATGAGTATGAGAAGATGAGGTACGAACGACGGTGATTGAGGGTGTGAAGCGAGCGGGTAGTCTCCGGTGGTGGAGCTATCCCGAGCAACGATTTTGTGATCTCCTCATTCACGCTGAGAAGCACCTGTAGGAAAAGGGGTCCAGGTCACAATTCACGAGAAATACGGAGGCACCCATAATAGCACCCACATTCAACGTTCTCAGACGCAGTTGTCGCGACAATTGGTGTTGCACAAACGGATTCGCCTCGCCCTTTTGTTTTAATTGGAGACCTTCGCACGTGAGGTGTTCAATGCTGTGGAAGGCGGAAAGGAAGTGGAGGAAGGCGGTGCACGTCGGGAAGGTAGCGCCTTGGATGGTCAGACTCCGAAGGCCGCTCCCGGATTGCCTGCAGCAGAGTAGAGTGGAAGGGTGGCATTGTACGGGGTCACATACACGCCCTCCAAACGTTATCTGACGAAGAGCAGATAGAATAGACAGCAGGGGATGTGGAGCGAAAGCCTCCCACCGAAGCGACAGAGATTGTACGATAGACTGGCGCTCAGGTTTCGCTTTGAGAACGTCGCAGAAATCCAAGACCCGATCCCTGCTTCGGAGGCGGACCTCCGTGAAGAGAACGAGGATGCTACGAGGATGAAGGTCACGGCAAGTGAGAGCAAAAGCGAGTAGTGTGTCCGTGTAATAGGAGCAGCAGTCGATGATGCCCTCGATGACCTCCACTGGGAGCACGAGGGACTGCATAGTGGGCGAATCTGAGGGCGAAAAATCTGGAGAGTTCGACATGTTGTCCTCAGGAGACATGGTAGAGTGTCAGTGTCGCTGGTCGGTGGAACGATGAGCTCAAGAGGGACTAGGGACGAGTAAGACAGCATCCTTGGACCAGGCTGTGCGGAACCCATGAGGCGCGGTATCTGAGTTCGACAGAGAAAACGTAGCATTCATATTATGTACGCATGTCACGGTGTCAATAGCAAGTGGCGCTCTTCCGAGCCGCAATTATTCCTCGGAATCTCATGGTATAAACAGCATTATGGTCATACTTCTCGGTAGAGTCACACGGCCAGATTGCCACTGCTGCAGGCCCTTTCGAGTGTGGGGAGCATGTACAGACCAGGAAATCGATGCAGAACGATACATTATACAGTTACTTCTTGCCGTGGTTCGCAGGATACGGACCTCGGCCGTCCTTATGACTGTTATCTCTCTGCACCAAAACACGACCTTGAAGTGAGCACAGTGCGAACGCGCTGCATGAGAGGTTTCGCTATGGTCCTGTGCTAACACGTGACAAGAACACGAAGAGCGAGCGCGTCTTCTTCACTGCATTTAAGGCACCAAGTGTGCTTCACGATGCAAGGTGCGTAAGCGGTCGCCACCATACAGCGCAGGCAACACGCGTCCTTCACCGTGCACGAGTACTCGCGCTCCAACCTGAATGAGGGGACAAGGTCAGGGTAGGAGTTGCCTTTTTTGAGCCGAGCCGTGGTTGACAACGAGCTTGTTGACGAGCGCGGGGTGGATCATCATGATCTCGTCCTGGACGTAGCCTAGGAAGACGGAGGGCCGCTTGTCTCGTCGTGGCTGGTGTCTGGTCTACATGCCACGATGACGTAGGTGTGCTTCAGCTCTGGCATGGGTAAAGAAAAGGTGAGGTCATGTAGGTAGTGAAGATCTGTACGATCGACCTACTCGAGTCGATGCACGATGACAGGGGTAGGTAGCGAGTGCGTCCTGCCAGGAATTCTGCCCATTCGCTGCAGTGTGTCGCAAGTAGCCTGGAGAGGGATATCTCGGCACAGTCGACGTCCTTGGCGTGCAGAGGCTTCCGGTCTCTCTTTGCAGCGAGTCTCGAAGGTGTGCCTCCTGGAGGATTTGGAGGTGGATGATCCCGCTGTCCTATGTGAGAATAAGTACATTGACGACCGCTGCTCAACTCGGAACGCGGGACTCCATACACCAAACTGGGTTAGAAGTCCGACTACGCGAGAACGAGATAGATGAATGGTTCGAGCAAGAAGACGTTAAACACGGGAAGGATGCAAAGGATGCGAGGAACCCTAGGGCAGAAGAAGGACAATAGTGTGGACGTACCTGCGTTATCACCATGGGTTCCCCTGCGCCGCGCCCTTTGCATCCGCTGCCCCGGACGCCCCGTCAGACTTTCTGTCAACTTCAAGGCTGGCTTCGTTGCCAGGGTCAGGTCTACGAGTTCACCATAGTACTGCGCTCGCTGAGCCAAGGGAAGTCGGCTAGTTGGGGATTGTGCGCCATGCAGAGGCTGGAGAAACCATCCCTGACGAAGGCGTGAACAAAATGTGAAATAGCGGTGGCCAGCGGTGTACGGGTTCAGCTACGGAGATCGAGAATAAAGGGGGGCAACACCCGTCACGGAGCTCGAGGGTGGTGGACGTGGTATGGCGTCAACTATGGGGGTGTGGTATGGAGTGGAATGTTGGCTACGGTGCAGGAATGGTCGGGGTCATTCGGAGGATATGAGAGAGGTTGAATACGTGCTGGAGAGGAAGACGCGTTATGACAAGACATTGGCGTAGTCCTATTCTGTTGAGGCGGCAGCTCTTGGGAGGGTGGTGGAATGAAGCAATTCTTCCCGTAGCTATGAGAATCCCTCTCCACAAGCCTGACGCAAAACAACGTTAAGTATCCGTATCAAGATTGTCAAGACATAAAGGTAAGGATTAGCAATACCTACAAGCACATCGCACGTTTAGGACGACGGATGTTGACTGTATGCGCAAGGCTCGCCTTCCATCTGCTTCATATAGCCTCTCTAGTCGTTCTCCTATCTATCCGAGGCAGAACGTAAGTAGCCAGAAAGGATTTGGAGGCCCATGCAGGCTGGGTAGTATGCGATAGGCCCCTCGAGGATGGTTGCATGAGGCAGGGAGATCGATCACAGGAGCTTGATGAAAGCATATTTCTGTATCGCAGTGTTCAAAGGATAGATGCAGCATAGGCTTGTGAGTGCGTTGCTAGACATCGGGAGGATACGTCAGTGCATGAGGAAGCCTGGCGCGGGGAGAGCTTGCGCGGAACACAGCGAAGGGGCGGCATGCTCTGGAGCGAGATGCTAATCAAAGTAGTGCAGGATGACGTCCCCGTCCGTCGAGAGTGATCAAGTAATAGCCAGAGGATGAATGCGAGACGATGTCAAGGACCTAGACGCTCTTAGACGGCCCGCTTCCCGGTCCGGTCTGGCTGGTGTTCGTACCGCGCTTCGTCGTTGCTTGCTCTGTGATGCCCTCACTGTCTACAGTACCACTGCCCGTAACACCAAATCGGCCATGCGTGTTGTCTGTCACTGTCGTTTGTTGTGGTAGTGCATTGCGCTGGAACTGTTCTCCCACCTCACAGTCATCTCACTTGACGTGCCCCTCTGTGTCAAGGCGACTCGGAATCTCTGCACAGGCCCGCTCTCGTCATTATCGCTACTAGGAAACCTCAATCGTATTCTTGTGCCGCACACGAATTATTGGCAGGATACAACACCACAGCTTGGGTCCCGGAGAGCGTATATGGGCCTGCATGGTCAACCATGTGTAAGGCGGTTACTTATGTTCCAAGACATGCAATGTCTCCCTCCACGCAAGCCCCCGGGTTTCCGACAAACCTGTCTTTCCCTTCTCGGCCGTGACCACCCACAGCGCTCATAGACACCTGTGCCCTGACTTTCAAAGGTCGCTCTAGTATTGATATCGGAGATTTGAATCGTCCCCATGATATCATCGTCAAATTGCTTGTAGATGTTCTTGTGCTGGAGCCATGGGTCGGCTTGTATCCTATTCCTGGAAAAGGTGGGGTAAACGTCACTGCGAACGTACGTACTCATTCCTGTGTCAATGCCAGGCATCCTCTCCAACAGCACGAACACGATATCGGTTGAATCCCCCCTTCTACAGCAGTCCCTGCGATATGCCGGCCGTCTGCCATCTTTCATCTCCCTTCCGACAGGTCTCTCTAGATCCGTTTTAAAGGCATCTGTAATTTGACAATCTGCTGGGGCTGGACACCGCGCCCCACCCGATCTAGCAACTGATTAGTGTCTTCTTCAACGCAAGTTCGACTAAGCTTCCTGATAGCTTCGCGCTGGCATCGCAGATCCTTTTGGCTGCACCCGAGCACAACGAGCGAAGAATCTGTCCGCAGCCGTCGACCCTTTGACGCGGGCAACAGGGAGGGTCACGATGGCAGCAAGATTTGGACTGCGGGCCCTTCGGCTGCTGGACGCCGTTTGCCTTCCGTGGCGGCTTGCGATATGGTCTACTCAATACAGTGTCTTCAGACAACTTGATGTTCCATCAATCGGGAGCAGGTCAGACACTTCAGGTGTCGTATGACCACTGATGGGACTTGCGCAAGCACGTTGGGGCGTCAACGCCGAGCCGTCGCTGTCGCAGGTCCCTCCGCTTCGGAACCGGAGGGTTCAATAAGGAGGGTGGTTCTTCGAATTGGCATTGCAAGGTTGCGAGCACTTGAGGAGGATCTGTGCTTTCGATGGTACATTTCCGTAGTGAATTCACGCTCCTTGTGTGTTCATAGGTTGATAAAGTGGCATACTTATGGACTATAATAACGCTGCTTGAGTGGAGAGAAATGGCGTATCATTGGACACACAACGCAAGACAATTGTATGGATCAGCGAACAAGGCTATACCTAATAATGACATACATGCATTCTGATGTAGATGTACGAGATGCGAAGCGAAGCGGGCAGGTTCCGACTCTACGTTACTATCTAAGGCTTGAATTCATCTGGGATGACATCCTGTAATCGACGACCCAACACAGTCCCATTGTCTGCAGCAGACCACAGCATTGTCCCTTCGGGAGTGAACGCAATATGCTTGACATAGGAATCGTGACCGGAGAGCACAGCTAGACACGATCCATCACTGGTCCTCCACACCCTCACTGTCTCGTCATCAGATGCAGAGGCGATATACTTCCCGCACGGGGAGAAGCATGCCCTGCACACCGTTGCATCGTGTCCGTTGAGCGACTGGAGCATGGCACCTGTGTGTGCATCCGAAATCCTGACCGTCTTGTCCGCCGACGCTGACAGAAGCAGCCGACTATTCGGGGAGAACACCACGTCATCGATGGCATTCTCAAGTACAGAGTGTGCCTTCCTGTTGGACTTGGACTTATCCGGTCCGGACTACACGAGGCTATGCGTCTCCTAGCGCTTAGCTGTAGTCGCTTATGTAGTATGTTACCATATTTGGGACTCTCTGCTCGTGTACTATAGCTATGCTTCCGGACTCTTCTGGTACTGTCTAGGACAATCCGTACTACTCCAGAACGGTCTAGACAGGTCTATGCCTTACTCATCTCTTACTCATCCTATGGTGCGATACGTCGCAATTCTTTCGTCATTGTATTATTCATCGCACTATGGTACATGTGACTAACCACTCTTCGATTAGTCATGGACACTTCACTGTAGTATATAAGGACTTCAGATTGCGTCCTCCCTCTTCAG